CCCCAACAGGGTCCTCGTGCCATGATCTACCCCCAGCTTTCAGCTGGCTCCAGAGCATATGCCCAGCTTATTCAGGGAGTGTCCGGACTTGAACCTAGAATCATTCCATGCACGAATGCCTCAGAGAGCATCACATTCTACCACTGGACCACTATCTGGCCCCAAGGGCTTTTAAATAGTATTGATTTACAGTTTCTAAATTCAATACTACACATTTCATTATCATCATAATTGTTGTTAATGTTCAAATTGTCCCAAATGTGGCCAATGGAAGCCTCTTTAAGCCACCCCTTGTGTCTGCCATATTCTAAAGCTTTCTCTCTTTTTTTGAGAATTATTTAATTTTATTATTTTTTTTATTTGCTGTAGGGCACATGTCCTTACCAGAGAGGCAGAGAGAGAGAGAAAGAGAGACACAGAGAGAGAAGGAAAGTGAGAAAGCAAACCACCAGGTTCAGGACTCAAACCATGGTCGACCATGTGGGAATCCAACACCTTAGCCACCACGCTACCTGCTGGCCCCTCCTAATGCTACCTTGTTTTGAAAGGCCAAGTTACTTTATATCTTTCCTACTCAAGACCTAGAACCAGTTCTTTTAGTTTCTCCAAATGATTTTATATTTTTTAACGAATTATTTCTATATATTTTTTTAACTTGCTATGTGTGCTCACCAAAGATGAGACGAAGAGGTGTAGTAAGAAAAAAAGCCGCTGGGCTCAGGACTCAAACCATGGTCAGTTTGAAAGAGCCCATCACCTCAACCACCACACCACCTGCTGGCCCGTCTCCAAATGATGTTAACTCTTGGAATTTATTGTGTTTGGTTGTTGTTTTCCTGAGACTGTCAAATGATGCTTCCCTTTTACTTCGTTTATCCCTGAGGAAGAAACCATGGAGGACAATTTTCTGACCAATTATTTCCAGAAGCAAACAGAATAGTTCTCACTAAAGAAAAAAAAAATGGCGGTAAAACTGTAGATCGGGAACACCATGAAATAAGGAAGCGGGGATAGCCCCAAGAGAATGTGCAGTGTAAAGGAGTTTCAGAAGTCACGTATTCGTACTCCACCTACAAGCATCTTTGCTTTTTTGTTGCATCTCCATAGCGAACCACGTGGTCTGGAAAATGTGAGACGATTTCTGGGTGTGACAGGATATCCCTCATTCAGGTTACCTCCATTTCCCTTATCTCTGACAAACTATGTATGTGAACAAATCAAAACCTAGCCCTGGTCAAACAAGCCCTGACTTCAGGACACAGCACCAACTTAGCTGAGAGTTTAGCGATGTTTGGCCTCAGCCTAGTGAGAGTGGAAAACATCCATCAATGGACTAAACTCTGTAGTTACTGTTTTAACCTGAGGAACCAGGGATGCTGTTGACCTTTATTTGATTATAATTTTCCTAAAGAGATCTCCAGCCTACTGTTCTAAGCTATTATTGGTTCATTATGAACTGAGCTGGTCCTCCCCCAAAATTCATATATTGGAGCCCAACTTTATAATGTGACTATATTTAGAGACTGAGTCATGTATTTTTTTTTATAAAGTTTCATTTTTTTATTTTTGCCATGAGCAAAAGAGACAGAGACAGGCATTCCCAGTAGAGATTTCATGATACTCCAACTCCAGCTTCAGGCAACCCTGAATCATGGGCACACACATGCATGGAACATTCAGGGAAGTCTCCGGATGTGAACCCAGAACCCTCCTACATGGGTCACTTTCTCAGGGCCTTGTGTTTCCACTCTGTCACAGTCCAGCACCCAGGGACATTTAAAATGAGGTCATGAGTATGAGGTCCTAGTCTGATAAAAGCTGGTGTCCTTATAAGAGGATGAGAACAGAACCCTCTCCTTCCTCCCACTCCTCTTCGCTTAAGCCCAGAGCGACAATGTGAGCCCAGCAATAGGGCGGCCATCTGCAAGACGGGAAGAGTTCTCACCAGTAACCAACCTTGACTGCAGCTTGATCTCGGACTTCCAGCCTTCAGAGCATGAGAATTTCTGTTTAAGTCATTGAGTCTGCCATTTTGTTATGGCAGCCTGTGGTGATTTATAGTGTCCCAGCTCTAGCATAATTTACTTCATTTTCCCCAACATGACATTTACCACATTATTCTTCTTCCTTTCAGTTTTTTGTTTGTTTGTTTTTTGTTTTGTTTTGTTTTGTTTTGCTATAGGGTGCATGCACTCACCAGAAAGACAGAGACAGAAAGCAAAAAATCACCCCCCCAGGGCAGATGGCCACGCTGCAATCCTTTCTCCTCTAGGAATCTTGGGCACACACCCTGCATGAGTTTAAGCTACCAGGTCCGGGACTCGAACTGCGGTCAACTACATGGGAGTCCAGCAAGGTAGTCATTACACTATCTGCTGGTTCCGAAAAGGGCTATTTTTTCAATAATAGTTTTATTTATCTTTATTAATTTTTTTATTTTAATTTGACCCGAGTGGGACAGAGTGAAAGAAAAGAAGAGAGAGGAAAAGTAAGAAAGCAAGCCACCAGGTCCAGGACTTGAACTGTGGTGAGCCATGTGGGAGTCCAGGGAGAAGGGCTATTTTTGTACCATTTATGTCTAGCCTGGAACCCATGGCTGTCTGTACAAAAGTTGATACTTAGTAAAATTAATCTCAAATCATTCAAGGTGGGAGAGGAGGCAAGGGGAAGGGGAAAGGTGAGGTGCGGAGTACCATGCAGGAAAATGGCCCACGCAATGAGAAAGGAGGTCACTTTCACGCAAATACCGAAAGCCCCCAACAGCTTAAGGATGATCTAATCTTAATGATCTTTTTTGTTCCACCCAATTAGATTTCTTTTGCTTTCTGATTTTTGTATCTGTAAAACGTCTTGATGGTGGGCCAGCAAGTGGCATGGAAGTTAAGGTGGCTGGGTCCCACCTAGCCAAGTGTGAGGTTCCAGTCCCTGACCTGGCGGCTTGAAAATCACTCCAGGCACGTGAGTGTGTGTGCCCAAAATCCTGAGAGGAGAACAGAGAAGGGATTGCAGTGTGGCCATCCCCCTAGGGATTGAGTTCTCCCTTCCTTTCTTTTTTGAGCACAAACGCCCTATAGCAAGAAAACAAAAAGTTCATGATTGTAGCATCACATATACCATTAACATATTAAAGTTGTCCCACTGATCACTTTCCATGTGGTTTCCCCATCAAGACTGCAAATGCCTTACAGTCAAGGGTTTGTAAATCTTACTGCCTCTTTGTAGTACTTAATCAACACTAGACCCAGTAAGTATTCAGTAGGTATGTTAATGACAAATATATGAATTCTAGTAGTTTCTCTTTAATCCAAAGAAATGGGCTTATATTTTATTGTCCTTCGAGAAAGCTGGGGCCAGCAGGTGACATAGCAGTTATGTTGCTGGACTCCTTTGATGGTGGTCTGAGTCCCGGACTCAGTGGCTTGGAACTCATGCCCGGTGCATGTGTATGCATGCCCAAGATCCTACAAGAATGGAGAAGGGATTGCGGCCTGGCCACTCCTGGTCAACTCCCACAGGGGGTGATTTCTCACTTTCCTTCTCACTGTTTCTGTCTCTCTCTGGGGAGTGCATGCACCTTAAGGCAAAAACCTCTTTAAAAAAATAAAACTTCAAAATCATTTCCTTAGATCCAGGGACAAATCTTTTACTAAACAAAACGAAATATCTTTTTTTGGGGGGTGGTCAGTGTGTGTTTGCTCCCTGGGGGGGGAGAAAGAGACAGAGAAAGCACACCCCATTCCCTATGGGGAATGGTCACACCACAATCCCTTCTCCATTTCTCCCTCCTTTCAGGATTTTAGGCACACACACACACACACACACACACACACACGAGCCTGACATGTCTCTCAATCTGCTGGGTCTGGGACTCAAATCACATGGTTGGACAGGTGAGATCCAGCCACCTCAACCACCACTCCACAGGCTGGTCCACTTCATGTCTTCTCCAATGCTATGATGGTGAATTCTGCCAATACTTCTTGGTACTCACTATCCAGAAAAAACTAGAAGGTGTTGACTTTTAGGCTGGTGTCTTTACACAGACTTCTTTCCAAGGACTCAGCCTGCTATATAATGAGTGATGGGCACTTGAGAAATGTTGAATAAAGTAACTTCAAAAGATTCCCTTCTAACATGGATTCAGGACTAAAACATTTGTGTGTGTGTACCAGAATGCACCTGCCAGAGAGGGACAGAGACAAGAGAAAGAGAGAGAGGGAAAAAGCATCCCCCATGGGGAATGGTCATGCCACAAGATCTTCCCCATCTCTCCCTCCTTTTCGGATTTTGGACATGGAAGTACTGGCACTCAGTGTTTCTCAAACTGTTGGGTCCAGGACTTGAACCATGCAAGCCCTAAAATATTTTTAAAGAGGTACTAAATACATATATGGTTTTAGACTTATTTTATGATAAACAAAAAGCTGCTGGTAAATACCCTCATGCATGTAAATGTAGTAAAGAAAAACACAAAAACTTCAAAAGTCTAAAAGTTTATTGCTAGAACAGCAAACTTCATAAAGACACCTTTTTAAAGGACATAGAAAATGACAAGCAAAATAGGCAGAAAACTTTGACCAAAGAAAAGCAAAGATTACTGCCATGCTGCATGTACAAATTAACACCAATCCAAACGGGTACATTAAAGAATATATGGGTTACACAATCCCCATTCTAAAACTAAAGGACACTCATTCCAAAATGCTTAGGTTTGGGGTGGGTTTATTTGGGGGGGAGGGGAGGATCTTAGGGAAGGGGGAGTGTCAATTCCTCCTAATACAGAAAATGAAAATTTGTAGATGAGAAACAATGATGACTAAAATATCAGTGATCAATTGAATTCTTATCTCCAAGAATATAACTTGTGATAGACCCAAAAAAGTTTTAAAAAAAAAAGAACTGATCAAAACTCTAAACACAGAAGAAACAAATTCTAAATTCAATTTGTGTTATCCTTACACTGATTGCCATCTCATAAACACTACATCCAGATGTGTTACTTTAGTTAAAATGAGCTAAGAAGATAAAAAGCCAAAAACAGCTTTTACTATTTGATTTTGACCAAGGCTACCTTTTTTTTGTTTGTTTTTTGGTTTTTGTTTTTTTAAGCACAGAAAATTCTATCCGTATACTACAAGCACAAGGCTTTCTTTTTTATTATCAAAGAGTGGGAATTCATATTAATAAAGCCAAGGGATAGCGACAATCTCTAACTGACTACTAGTGCCCAATGGAGCTGCTGCTAAATGTATACGAGTAAGAGTAAGAAGAATTCCCCGTGGCATCAAAGCTTCCTCTCCGGGACCCACTGCGTGAACCAGAGCGAGAGCCAGAGCGAGAGCCAGAGCGGGAGCCAGAGCGGGAGCCTGGAGCCGAAGACATGTTGTAAGGGCTAGGTAAGCCCTTGGATGACACAGAGGCGGCTTCCAGGAGGCGTAAGCCAGTGATATCTTCCACCATGGAGCGATTCACGGCATCCTTATAGGATATTTTTAATTTGGTTTTGGGGCAGGTTAGGATTTTGGCATAGCTGCTGGTGTCTTGCAGCCTCTGAGCCCCTCGGCCATCAATGAACCCCTTTCTGATGGCTTCTTCCATGCTTATCCTCCCATGGGCTTCTGGGTCGACAAGGCCTCCCGTGAGGTACTGGAACTCCAGGAAGCGTTGACCTGCCTCATAGGGGAGCCATTTTTCTTTCACTGCCTCTGCAGCTGACATCTTCTTCTTTCCCTTTACGCCTTCGAAGCCAATGAAGGCTTTCTGAGCAGGCTTCAGCCTGGTGGCCATATCTTGGTCAATGACCCCCTGGGAGACTGCATCCTGAAGTGACAGCTTCTGACCAGTAGTAGGGTGGATGATGCCGCCTGTGCAGGCCTGAGCTTCCAGAAGCCTCTGTCCAGTGATGCTATCCACGATGCCCCGCTCTATACCTTCTGTAATGGAGATTTTCTCCAAGTTTTCGGTGTCAAAGATGGCTGCAATTGGACTCGATTCTTCCAGGGGATCCGACAGAGAGCTGCTCCTAATGGTTAAATTCCGAACACTGGATATGGTGGAAATCTTACTGACTGATTCATGTCGGGAGCTGCTGAAAACATCATCATTGACACTTCCACCCAGGCCACTGCTGTTACTGACACCATTTTTCAAGGAGATCATGTCGGCAAACTGAGTGAGGCTGAGGCTGCCGGATCGATACTGGTCAAAGAACTTCCTGTCTACAAGACCCTTGTCAATAGCGTCTTGGATATCATACTGACTGCCTGTCTTCCTGTCGACGAGGACTACCCTGGTGGAGCCATCTGACCCCGTGATGGTTATCTCCTCCCACTCGCATTCCT